GGAACAGCGAGTGGCGTGGTTGAAGCAATCTAAGTGCAAAACTCATCTAGACTTTTATTATTTTGCAGCCAAATGTGATAATTGTCTTGGTCCCATCTAATTCGATAGTAGTTTTTGAATTGAGTCACCTTAATCAAGACTTCTAAGGATTCGACTTAGTTTTCATAGAAACGGTGCTTGTTTTCACACTTGGTTCACCAGTTTGCATGATATTTAATTAAATGACAAATTGCAATAACACATACGCCAGCGTAAGCACATTTGGTACCAACACGGTCAGCTCTTGGTAAGCACCAGCATGACTGGGGCGGGGGTGGAGGCGCGGAACTGCACCACGTTCTAGAAGGTGTTGACGGCCTGGGTTTGAGTCCCAGCTTCCCCACTGTAGCCTGAGAGGACAAACTCATTAACCCTGGTGCTGTCTTTTCCGCATCTGGGAAAGGGGGTCATCCACTGTGAGGACTGCAGGAGGAAGCACCGTGTGGTTTGTGCCCTGTGTGACCGCCGTGTGACCGCTCATCGCGGCTGTCCCACAGGCCTGCGGGGCTGCCTCCCAAACCCGCGACGGTACAGCAGTGCGTTCAGAGGTGTCCTCTCTCGGGCTATATCCCCGTTTCCCATTCGAGAAAATAGACGTCTGGAGACGTCAGTGACTGCAAAGCCTCTTGGCCAACGTGTCACAGCTTTTGGAACCGGCAAGGGCCTTAGCAATCATGAGGTTTGGATCCAGAAGGAAATTCACTGTCCATGTTCCTCTTCCCTTTAGCCCCCTGAGCCCCAAACTTCCAGCGAGGAGCAAATTGAACATCTCAGTGCCGAGACCGCCAAGCCCTTGTTCAGTGTGCACAGCAGCCCATCTGTCGATGGTGGCACATCACGTGTCCATGCAGCACTGAATCCCCGGGAAGAGGCTTCGTCCCAGAAACCCGGAACGTTTGAGTGTTGCGGAGGAAGCACAGAGGCCGCGTTCCGGGCCAGCAGAGTGGAGTCACATGATCGTACAGAAGCCAGACTTGGTGAGTCTCCTCTGAGGGTTCCTGCTTGGGGTTTCCCTGGGCCATCCGGGCGACCTGCGGGAGTCGGGGAGGGCTTGCCAGGGGCAGCGGCCAGGGACAGAGCAGAGGGCAGCCTTCACCTTGGCCACTGGGCCCCAGGGCAGGAGGGGGCAAGCTTGAGCTGCACGCCCCCCCCATTCAGTGGGACTCTCCCTCTCCGGGAGGCCTACGGTCAGGCTGTGCAGGAGACAGGGGACGCCCAGGGCTCCAGAGTTGCGTGAGTGTTGTTAAGAGTGTTCGAGGGCTTACAGAGAACAAACTGAGGGTGGACGGGGTGGGGTGGGGGAGAGGGGAAAGCGGGTGATGGGCATGGAGGAGGGCACCTGTTGGGATGAGCACTGGGTGTCGTATGTAGGTGATGAACCATGGGAATCTACCCCCAAAACCAAGACTGTATGTTAGCCAATTCGACAATAAATTATATTTAAAAAAACAAAAAAAAGATTGCTCAAGGGCAGACAGAGAGGGTCCAAGCTCTATGCCCCCAAGTACTGGGGGCGTATCTCCCCCACCCCCCTTAAAACCATCCTCCTTTCATCCATTCCCCAGGCCTCTTCCCCTCCCCCGGGGACCCACCTACTGACTTGGGGGCCACTGGGGACCAGAATGCCAGGATGCTCCATTCGGAGGGGGCCTTGGCCTCCAAGCGGGAGATGGGCCCCGGATCCTGGACCTGGATGGAGAGGGACGGGCACACTCATCACAGGCCTCTCTGCGCCAAGAACCACATGGTGCAAAGAGAAAACTTTGGGAGAAGAACAAGGAGGGCGCGTGTCGGGGTGCGTTCACCGGGCGCTGGCACGGGGCGCACGAAAGACTACCCTCCGTACGGGGCAGGCGCTCGACAAAGCTGGGCCGCCCACCTCCCACCGCTGCCCGGAGGAGGACACACTGAATGGAAGACAGGGGGTTCAAGTGTGAATAGCAAGTAGCAAACAGCTCTGGCCCCAGAGGTCGAAGTCTTTGGGGGACGAGGCCGGTATACGGTGAGCTAGGGCAAGAAAATCACTCGGTCTCCGTACCTGGCACGTGGTAGGCTTTCAATAAAACTTGGTGTTCTAAGATGCAAAGTTCTAGAAGTTAGGAAAGCCACGGAAGCAGCCAGGAAGAGGTGACTGAGAAAGGGGTCAGGGAGACTGGGCCAGGGCCTTGAGAGGTGAGCAGGAAGGGGCGGGGGCTGGTCAGGCCTCAGCGGCAGACCCAGGGGCAGGTGGGGGCATCCAGGAAACCAACGTGGGGGAGAGAGAGCTCCCGTGTCCAGGTAGGAGATGCACAGCTAGGGACAGCCTGCTGCCACTCACACTCCAGCCTCTGCGCCCAAGACGTGGGGGGGACATCCGGTGGGGCCTCGTCCTCTCTCTCCTCCTGGCCCTCCTCCAATTCCTCTTCCTCCCACCCACCCGAAGACCTGGAGGGGTGGGGAGCAGGAGGCAGAGCAGCACCAGGGACACGTCCCCCCCCC